TAAGAAAGTTCTGATGAATGCGTTTGAGATGACAGATCTTGGGGAAATGAATTTCTTTCTAGGGATAGAATTTATGTACTCTAAGAAAGGAATCATTTTACATCAGATGAAGTATGAACTGGAGCTTCTAAAGAGATTTGAGCTAGAGAATTACAAAGTTTCTATCACACCTGCTGATATGAATCAGAAGTTGGACTCTGATTCTGATGGAGAGGATATGGATGCTACAATCTTCAAACAAATGGTTGATTCTCTGAGGTATTTGTGTAATACCATACATGATATTTGCTATGCAATTGGAATGGTTAGTAAATTTATGAGTAAACCAAAGTGGTCTTATTACCAAGCTGCTGCCAAGATTCTGAGGTATGTGAAGGGAACTCTGAAGTATGGAGTGTTATTTCTGTCTGAAAGAAAGATCGAATCAGAACTTTAGAGTTATTCAGGCTCTGATTGGTGCGGAGATAGAGTGGACAGAAGAAGTACTTCTGGATACTTATTCAAATTTCTGAGAGGTCCTATTTCTTGGTGTTCCAAGAAGCAACTTGTTGTTGCGTTGTCAACCTGTGAAGCTGAATATATTGCAAGTGCTCTGACTGCATGTCAAGCTGTATGGATTCTGAACTTGTTGCAAGATCTGAAGATTGAAGTAGCCAAACCTCTGAAGCTGATGATTGATAACAAGTCTGCAATCAATTTTGTCAAGAATCCAGTGCTGCATGGGAGAAGCAAGCATATTGAGACCAAATATCACTTTTTGAGGAATCAAGTTCAGAGCGGAAATTAGAAGTTGTGCACTGTAGCACCCAGAAGCAGCTGACAGATATTCTAACAAAGGCTATCAAGACTGATCAATTTCTTTATTTGAGGGGTGAAATTTGTGTTGTCAATTTTAGATAAAATATAAATTAAGAGACGGTGTTAGATTTAATCTATATTTTAGAAATATTTTTTGGATATTAATCTATATTTTAGGAATATCTTTTTAAAAGATATTATTATATCTTTTTATATCTTTATTAGAGGATATTTAAAATTTTATTTTGTATATAAATAGTCTAGTGGAGTAGCTCAATATAATTAATTATAAATTATTATTTCTTATTTTTGTAACCATTATTTAATATATTCTTTTTATTTTTCATCTTTTCTTTATACACCAACGTTATTCACAATCACATTCTAATTGAATAACTTAAATGAAAGTCCGCTAAGAAAAAATCACCACCTTAAAAAAAACCATTAATCTCAGGAAAAATTAAAGAGTGAGATTGAAAGAGTGAAATATAAATAAAATGTTTTGATTTTTTTTTCAAAGGGGGTATTCGGTTGGCATGTCGTCACTAAATCTAAACTTGAACGTGATGATAACTATGAGAACAATAATCTTAAACTAATCATTATGTTATTTTGTTTACGGGTGTTCTATTTTGTAAAACTAATATTTAAAATACATTGACTACTTCAACAACACTAGCAATTCAAAATAAATTTGTAATAAATTAAGAATACAAGTGTAATAAATTAGTGTCAAGTAGGAAAGTTGTGCTGCTTTGTAATGTGAAGATTTTTTGCCGTCCACGGCCCGCTACTTGGATTTAAAGCGGTGGTGGGTCACTCACTCCCTCAAAACATTCACTAATTCAAACCAATACAACAAAGGTTGAAATGAACTTTCATACTTAAATAACTTGTTCCATTTTTACCAGTAAGTAATAAATTGCTCCTTTAATAATACTACTACAATCAGTGGCCACATGTATTGAGTTTTCATTAGCAAAAACTGGAAAAAGAAACTTCTACTATGTAATTTTTAAACTTATCTTATCATGAAAAGACAAAATTGAAAAGTCAAAATCTACTTTATAAACAATGACACGTAACTTAATTTTTTGTGTTTATCTATTCTCTACTATCTATCTTAAGTTAAAGATAAACATTGATTTCTTCTTAAGGAAAGGCACTCTGGTGTGCATTTTTTCTTTAATATTATTAGATGAAAATTGGTACTATCAAATGTCACACAAATGATAGTGCAATTTCCTCTAACTTGACTAGTAACATATGAAAAGGATTGCCTTTAGGGGCATGACAACGGGCAGGTTGGAGACGGGTTTAAGTATATCTAAACCTGTAGTTATCATTCAGATTCAAATATGTTTCCGCTCTCAAATTTGGTCAGAGTTAATATTTATTTTTTCGTTCCTGTCTTCAATAAGAAATAGGTTTTCTCCCACCTACCTCATACTTGCTAGAATAAAATTTTAATTTTTTTTAAATATATATTTTTTCAATAAAAATAAAAATCAATAATTAAACTAAATAATTAATTATTTTTATAAAAAAATTTATGTTTGATATTTTATTTAAAAATAATAATAATTCTAATAAATAAAAATATTATAACATTAAAAAATATAAATGCTTAATAAAACAATTAAAAATAAATTAAATAAATTTAATTTAATTCGCGGGTGCAGGTGCAAGACATATATTAGCATCATCAACTTCCGCATCCGTAAATAAAAGTCGTGTTTTCCCTACACTTATACCTACCCCGATTAAATCAGATTTTCCTATTAATTTCGAAGCAGAGGCGGCCGAAACCCAGCAAAAACAGATTTATCTAACATGCTTAATTGCCTTCTACATCAATTGGAAAAGAAAAAAGAATCCTTCAATAAAGTAGTAATAATAACAAACGTAAACAACAAAATTGATAAGTAACTAGTCAATAAAGTAGTCAAATCTATTACTCTTTTCATTATAAAATAATTGTCATTTTAATAGATAAATTTTATTTTAAAATAAGTGTTATTTTCACTTTTAAATATAATAATGATTATTATTTTTTCAATTGTGTCATTTATTTTATATTTTATACATTATTTATAATATATTAATAAGATTAATTTTATAAAAATATAATATTTTATAACAATAATATTATATTTTTTAATTTATATACAAAAATTTTAAACGATAATAATTTTAAAATGGAGGAAATAATATGTATACACTCATTATTATAATCAATAAAAAAAATTTACATCCACAAATAATGTATTTAAGCATTATTATATACTCCTTCTTTTTCGCAATAAATATAGTCTTCTTTAAAATTTTCATATTTATTATAAAATAATAATTAATTATATTGACAATAATAAAATGAATATTATTTAATGAAATAATCTTATTATAATAATAGATGGTTGACTAATTATATAAATTAAAATATAATAAATAAGAATAAATAAATTAAAAAGATAAGTAAATATTATACTGATATTTTAAAAGAATAAATAATTTGAAAAAAAAAAGAAATAGAATATCTATGATAAGATGGAGGAAATACAAATACATTAACTATTCAATAAATTTTAAAAAAAATAATTATTTATAAATATCTTTTACATCTCCATTTTGCTTTTTTCTCTCTCAAGAAAATAATAAATTATTATAAGTTAGTTTTTAATGGATAAATTAATTATTTATAATTTATAAGTTAATGGTTGATAGATAACTAACGGTTTAATTAATTAAATTACCGTATTTATAAGAATATATAAAAATATATTTAATTTTTTAATAAAAAAATAAAACACTATAAACTTTAAGCTAGAGTTTATTTGTTAGATTTATAATAACTAGATTTATTATATTTTAATAAAATTATTCATAAATTAAAAAATATTTATAATTCCTTTTTTATAAAATAAAAATATAATTTTTACATTAAATAACTTATATATTTATCAAAAAAGAAATTCTAAAAAGTTATATTTTTATATAAAATAAAACTATCCAAAATAACTCAAAAACACCTAAATTATTTTGTATGAAATTAATATTTTTTTTACAAATGATAACTTGGTTATATTAAAACATAAAAATATATATAAATATTAATATCAAATTTAATTTAACTTAATTTTCTTATATATATATATATATATATATATATATATATATATATATATATATATATATATATATATATATATATATATATATATATATATATATATATATATATATATATATATATATATATATATATATATATATATATATATATATATATATATATATATATATATATATATATATATATATATATATATATATATATATATATATATATATATATATAGAAAAGATGAATTAAATTTAACTTTGATGATAAATTAATATTATTTATCAAAATAATTATAATAAAATAAGAAAATATGTATCAGTATTATAAAATAATAATTATTTTAAAAAAATTGCATAAATAGGATACTCATAAACTTTTGAGTCAAAAAGAGACTACTCATAGAATCTCAATTCATAAAATTTTCTTATTATTACAAATTAAGTAAACTAAATTAATCAATTTCTAATTATAATGACGCGGTTTCTTTAGGAAGATCGCGCAAAGTTGACTTGGTGTGAAGAACTATCCCGTGCAACCGCACTCACCCTAAGCTCATTTCACTACAACCGTTAGATCAAATGGACCCCACATCAACTATTTTATTTAATAACAAATGATTCATTATTACGTTAAACCTCGTGCCCAATGAAAATCAATGAACCCAATGACGTGGAAAATTCTTCTTCTTTTTTCTTTTTCTTTTTCTTTTTTTAATTTTTTGACACATTTTTCTTTTTTTATTTAAAGAAAAAAGAAAAACGGAGATAGAAAATAAAACAGAGTAATATAAAAAGGGAGAAGAAGATCATGAAACTGAGTCAATTCAGTTTTGAATTCCAACCGCTCCAACAAAATTTTATTCTTTCTTTTACTTTCTTTCACCAAATCCCACAATTTCATTAAACCTTTTTCTTTTTTATTAAGGTTCTCTTCAATGAACATCAATGTTTGGTTTTAACGACAACCTCATTATTTCCGAAACCGAGTTTTTATTCGATTAATTGATTCAATTCGTTGAATTGAACTCAATCCCCATCTGGGTTTCTGAAAAAGTTTCGAAATTTGAAAGAAACAAATCATGGGGGTGAAAAACGATAGGGTGAAATTCAATGTTGGAGGCAGAGTATTTGAAACGACAGCAACAACACTTGCAAATGCCGGGAGAGATTCCATGTTGGGTGCAATGTTAGATGAGAATTGGAATCTGTTAGATAATGGAAGTGAGAGATTCATCGATCGGAATCCAGATTGTTTTTCTGTTATCTTGGATCTGTTAAGAACTGGTGAACTTTACATGCCACAGAATGTACCTGAGAAGCTTTTATACAGAGAAGCTTTGTTTTATGGTGTTCTTGACCATGTTCGGTCTGCGAAATGGGGTCAATTTGATGGGAACAGGTTGAGGTTGTCTAGGTCTGTTCAAGGACAAGCACCTGGTGATGGAACAGCGATTCGAGCTGGTCCAGATGGTGGTTGTTGTGTTGCTCATGGTTGCATGGTTCATGTTTATGATTGGATGTTAGATCAACATAATCCTCTTAACCTTGATTATCAAAGAGTCAATGATGTTGGTTGGGTTGACCCTAACAATATTGTTATAGGTGTGAGTGAAAGACTTGGTCGTGGTGATGGTGGAATGGGTTTGTTTAGTTCACATAATGGTGAACTTAGGTACAAGTTTCAAGTTAGTCATGAAAATCATGTGAAAAGTTATACTGCTGGTGCTTTGAGTTTCAGTTCTGATTATAAGATATTTTCTAGTTGTAAAGGGAGAAGTAATGAATATGGTGTTGGTGTTTGGGACCAAGTTACTGGTAAACAAGTTGATTTTTTTTATGAGCCTTTAGGTTGGTCGCTCGGCGATGCTGATAAACTTCAATGGTTAGAGGGGAGTAACTGTTTGTTAGTTGCAACGATGTTTCCGAGAAAAGATAACTGTTATATTAGTCTTTTGGATTTCAGAGAGAAGAAAATGGTTTGGTGTTGGTCTGATGTAGGTGCTACATTGGTTGTGGATGAGAAGAGGGTGAGAGATGCTATAGCAATGGAGGGTAACAGTTCAATTTGTGTGGTGAATGAGTTTGAGGAGTTAGGTTTCATGGATTTGAGAAGCTCTGCTGCTGCAAGTGTGAGGTGGAGTTCTAGAAGTAGGTTGATGAAAGGGAAGATGCCTGAAGAACCATGTTACCCTAAATTGGCATTGCATGGTGGACAACTTTTCTCTTCCATGAATGATTGTATTTCAGTGTTTTGTGGCCCTGAATGGGTTTTAACATCGAGACTTCGACGTAGCTATGGTGGGTCAATCTGTGATTTTTCCATTGGAGGTGATAGGCTTTTTGCACTTCATAGTGAAGAGAATGTTTTTGATATATGGGAGACTCCAACACCACCAATTCTATGATTTAATTGTGTTTTTTTAGCTTAGTTTAAGGTTAATTTCTTCCTTAGTTTGTCTAAAACATTGTATATACTAGGTTGTAGTTTTATGGTGTTACCAGGTCTGTGTATAACATACATACACAACAGAGGATACTATATATGTGGATTGCTTCTATACATCACTTTATATCTCTTGAAGATTCTAAATTCTCACTAGTCTCAAGTTATTCCTTCTTTTACTTTTGAAATGGTCATATCCAACTTTGTACTTGTTTCTTTTAACCTTTTAACCTTTTTCTTTTACAAACATGGAGTAAAATGAGGTGAAGTTCTTTTGATAGCATTAGAATGTTAAAGAGAATAATGAGAAATCACTTAGCATGTGGTGGGTGGGATGAGTTGCAGTTGCAGCTTTTTAGGTCACTTTTACTTTCCCTATTTAATTGATATTGCATAAAATATAGTTTGAATTCTTTAGGTTGCATTGCATCAAATCCATCAAATGTTGTATAATTCAAATGTCTCTAGTTATTATGATGTTAACATGTGATAATCGACCAAACCACTATCTTCTATGCAGAAGTTCTAAATATTAATTTAATCAAACTTAAAGATTATGCAGTGGAACAGAAGATAGTAGTAACAAAATTGATGTCTATTGTTTAGGATATTTATTGCTTCACTTTGAAGTTTGCAAACATTTATGGTTGAATACGAGCTTTTCTTACTATGTCAGTAATGTATAAAAACAAAGGATGAAAATGTCAGAACTCATTATCATGCATTAAGCTCAAACCACACACTTCACGTGATATTTTATCTCTTAAACATTTGTTTAAGCATCATCATAATATATACTCTTCCATTGACCTAATGATAGTATGTATGTTTCCCGATTAATATCGCCTTTGGTAGCTTCATATTATTCGTGCATTTGAGGCTCTCCATCGTGAAAGCAAACACACGTTGAATGTCTCTCGGGGCTTGCCCTTGTTAAAACCTGAACTTTAAGAGAGCTTCAAACAATTTCCTCTTGTTATATGTGATAAAAATGGAACCATACAAAACAAAATTGATCGCTGAAGAGTAAAATGAATGGTATACCTTCCTAATTTGATACATAAAAAATTTGTATGAGAATAGGTCAAGTTGGACCTAGTTAAGCATAATCAGGCATTACTTTCTTCAAAAACTTAATTGAACCAGATTCTTCAGGGGCAACTTCATCAAAAGAAACATAATTTTGCTCCTTATCGTACACGTGACACACCGTCAGGATTGTCTTCATTAATCTCCAATTCCAACTAGCCTCATTCAGATACTGTTATTCCAACACAGTAAAATAAGATACCAATAGTTAGCTTTAGTGTTTTCTAGAGACTTTAACCATGAAATTAGAGTAATGTTCGACATTGATAATGTTTTAGAGCTGATTCACAGTTTAAACACAGACAAGTTTGCATTACTGGAATAAACAAAATTTTCAAATCTAATCTTTTATTTTTGGACTATATCTAAGTAAAAATTTCGGTGGGAACGCAAATACTATTTGTTTAACATTTTCATTACTTTTCTTGACATGAAGACTGGAAAAAAGGCAAGAGTTGAATGCCGGCCCTCATTTCTTTCATGAAGAAGCATAAAAAGATATTGCCATTATTGATCTTACCTTTCCCCAATTTTCTTGGAGAGATTTGTGGGCTGCTCGTAAATTATAGCTCGGTATTTTCGGGGATATATGGTGTGGAATATGGACATTAATATCATGGCATAAGATCTCGATCCTGTTCAGAAAAGAAATCAGAATATATCAATTAGTCAAGCTGCCATCAAGTTAATTCCGCAATCCTGCACTTTGAAGACCTCAACAGAATAAAAAGAACAGATATCTTCAATGAACGATGAAAGAAAAAACATTCAACAGTAGCTGATCTATTGTGCATCATATATCATATTCATGCGTCTAGTTATTGGCCAGAAAAACATACATTGGAATACAAAGAGCAGAAAAACTACATTACCATTGAGGGTAAGCACAATGAACCGTTCCATTAAGCTGTGCTTGTGCAGCATTCCACTCTTCTGAATATTTGAACGGTATGTGTGGTGCAGTATGATGTACCATGGTGAAAGTACTCATCTGTGATTGAGATTAAAAGGATAGTACCTCTTAGATATATGACCAAAGTATTGATTACATCATGAAAATTCATATTCAGCCAGAAGTGATAAACAAAATATTAATTTATGCGACAGCAAAATTACCCAGAAATGATAGCCCAACCATGGCATCAACCAGAATTTTATCCATCCCATGATTCCAGTCTTGTAAATAATTGATGGCCATCCAATTGCTATGAAGGCAAAAACACAAGCTAAACTTATCTTCGCTCTGTTTATTTCATTTGGTCTGAACTTGGTCAAATCGAAGTGAACGACCAACCTGAAAGAAATTAGGACGCGTCATGATTCTATATAAACTAAAATACTAAATGTCAATAATTGAAAGCATGGCTTCTCAAGTTAATGAAATACTACTAGTACTTAGGAAATGTATAATGACATTTCAAAGCATATTTGGTTGTACCAGTGAGCTATAGACATCCAGCATCGAAGTGGACCGTATCCATTTATTATTGCTTTCCTCAAAAGTGGATTTGACTCAAACTCATCTTTCCAAACAGGCTGCCAAGCAGTATCTTCTTTCAACCTGTATCATTAGAGATGACTTACAATTTTTCATAGCACAAAGAACACAAGTTTCACACTTCATGCATTGAATAGAAGTATTAGTCAGTCCCTCTATGACATACATTTAATGCTACAAGTGATTTACAAGGTGCACCTAAAAAACAAAAAATAGAAGGGAACACCACTTACATGTTTGTTTTTGCATGATGCTTGTCGTGCTTAAATCGCCATGGCTCATATGGATAAATCAGTGGTAAAAAGGCCAGAGTTCCAACAATGTCTTCTACCAATTTGTTTGTTGAAAATGATTTGTGAGCGCAATCATGTCCTATAACAAAGAACTGTGTGGCAAAATGGAAAGAGGATTACAAAACCTACACCCAAAAAAGAAGAAGCTTTCCAAGATCTTCAAGATTTGAGAAATCAGTAACGAATAATCATAATTCAAATATGCGTTGAACTAACCCCAGTTACAGCAGTCCCCGTCCAAGCCCAAGCCAGAGGAAGTAAATACCAGGGTGCTTTAGAAATCATAAGAAGCCCCAACGCATACGAAGTGGCTGATATCAAAACAGTTTTCCATGCTTTCACATCATCAATCTCAAAAACCTTCAAAATGTAAAGTGATTATTATTTAAATATAAATAAATATTGAAAATATCAATATCGTAACAGAAAAAGCACCTTCTTAGGAAGAGAAGTGATGACGTCCTTCAACGTAACAGTCTCCGGAAGCGGTTCTCCGATTTGGTTAAAACCGTAGCGTTCAGCTAGCTCTTTTCTGTACTCGGCACTTTCCACTGGAGCTGGTTCTAGTGGAATTGCCACAGCTCGTATAACTCTAAATTTACTCGTAGGTAGAAATTGTCTTTGACTTTGATGCGTAAACCCTTTACGGAATAAGATGGATGGGTTACCGGGTGAGTGATGATGAAGAGCAATGTTTCTTCTCAAATTCAAAATTGGCTTCTGGTGGGAAGAATACTGCAAAAAGAAAAGGTGAATTTGAATTGAAGAGATGAAAAATTGAAAGGAGAAAAAGGAAAGAGAGGGAAAATAGTGAAAACCTTTAATTGGAGTAATGAATTTGCAGAGGTGAAAGCCATGTTGAGAGAAATTGAGCTCTCTGTGGAAGAGATAAAGCTTTTGTTTGGTTTTTATATTTGAGAAGAGAGGAAGTTAGCGAGAGTGGTTTTGTTGTGGGGTTCACCAAATGTGGATGCAGATCGATAACCCATTCCAGCCGCATGTATCATGTATACATCTTTTTATTTCAGTTCTCACGAGATGAACCATTGATTCGGGTGGCATTTCACGATACTAATGGTCAAATTTGTCAAGACTAATTAATTGATACAAATATGCAAGTAATCAAAAGGTTTCAATTTGTTGAGTGTTTTTGGTAGGAGAATACATCAAGTAGCTCCCTTAGACAAGGGGTACTTGAGTACTTCTCCTTTAAATTTTTAAATTTTTCGAGACATGTATCATGCTAAAGTCTATGACATGAAGATCCTTGGATGATCGAGTCAGATGCCTCAGATCCGAAGTCATCTTCATGTACTTAAGGCTTGTGGCGCATTACACGTATCTTTACTTATTAAGTGTTTTTGAGTTTTCTAACAAGAAAAAAGGTTTTAGTTTTACATATATGCAATGCAAGAATTAAACCTAAAGCTAAGGGATCTCAATCCTACTTGTTGGCATGCAATGGTGGTCCTAAGGTTAAGATATATGGAATCCTTCCTAAAGTCGTCATGCTTGGTTTACAAACCTAATGTCTACTCAATTCATCTTAACCAAGAGTGAATCGAGATTCTAAGGGAGCATGGCATCACGAGGCAAGCAATGTAGCAACATCAAAGCAAATGTAACAATCAAATGATGAACATCAAATGTATCTCATGCATCAAGAAAATACACTTAACTAAGTGGTCATACAATTCAATCCTTATACCTAATTCTAACTAGAATCAAGCTCAATAATCAATTAACAAAGTAAACGTGTTAACAAGCAAAATCCTAACAATGAATCCCTAAATCTAACAAGATCTAGGTCAATCATCACCTAACAAGGTGAACATGCTAACAAGCATAATCCTAACAAGAAATCCCTAAATCTAACAAGATATAGGTCAATCATCACCTAACAAGGTGAACATGCTAACAAGCATAATCCTAACAAGGAATCCCTAAATCCAACAAGATCTAGGTTAAACATCACCTAACAAGGTGAACATGCTAACAAGCACAATCCTGACAAGGAATCCTTAAATCTAACAAGATCTAGGTCAATTATCACCTAACAAGGTGAACATGCTAACCAGCATC